TAGGAGTATGGTTTTCTTTATCTGCCTCTTCTGCTTTTGTTCTCAGACAAGTGCGCTCCATGGTTAAAGATATGGCAGCTCTCCTGGGACCGAAGAAATTATTAGCACAGCATGTGGCCTATCTTTATAATGCTGTCCTTCTTCCGCGATTGGAATTTCGCCTTCAAACTACCCTTTTTTCTGAAAGTACTATTCAAACAATTGTCAAGCCTATGTTTTCGGTACTTCGAAGAAAAGCTGGTCTTGCTGCTACTACCCCGTTACCTTTATTATTCCTTAAACTTCCCTTTTCTATTCAAAATGCTTTTTATCGCTTTCTTTCTTCCCATATTGCATCTTGGCAAAAAATCTTCACTCACCCTGATTTCAAAAATTTTGCCCTTTATGCTATCTCCTATCTTCAAGGATATTTGGGTGCTGAGAGTTGCCCGACTACTATCAACTTAGAACCATGGTCACAAATCGTTTCTTTGCGAACGCACACTTTGTTTAATTCGTTATTGTTTTCTTCGCGTTTGAACATCACGTGGTCTCTTTCCTTCCGGCCTCCGAGGCTTGATCTACAACCTGCTTTGCCACTTCGATCTATTCTACCTCATTCCATCTTTCAATCAAGTTGGAAACTTTGGAAAAACCTGAATATATTTGTGCTTGCTCAGTTGGTTTCTCCTTGTGGACGTTATCTTATGAATTGGCCTGACCTTCGTTATCTTGGCATCGTTGGTCGTAAAGGACTGATTCCTAATTGGTTTACTTTTATCAATAATAATTTTCTTTCTTCTTCTTCTTCTACTTTACTTTTATCTTCATATTTTATTAATTCTTCTTTTACTTTAGTTTTTCCTTGTTTATTAGATCATACTGTTAAAGATTATTCTTTTTATCCTCAATGGGCTATTAATCTTGACTCTGCTACCCAAACTTTATCTGTTGGTCGTGTGTGTATCACCTACAAGAAACAAAACTCGGCTATTATGTCGCATTGGCTTCCTGTATCTCCCTCGGCTGATGAACGATCCTATAACCCTTGTCCTGGTTGTGCTCTTAACATTCCTGCCTTATCCAAGAAATCTGCTATCAAACAACGTTGTAATAGTGAGAAGTGTTTTTTCAATATCACCCTGTCGGAAACTGTGGGTTACCCTACTAGAAACGCCAAAGTTTTTGCGGCCTACCTTCCCATCACTCTTTCTACTTCATGGAGTTATGCCACGTCCTTGGCCCTTGTTCATTTGATGAACCCGCCCTCAACCGCTTCTTTCACCCTTTCTCCTTCTGTTAAGGACAATTTAGATGATGATGTTTTGCCGTCTTCTGTGCAATCTTTGTATACCGATGGCTCTTTCCGTCCTGCCAATGATTCTTTATCCTCTTCCATGGCTTCTGCTTGGATTGCGCTCGATGATGATGGATTTATCCTTGAATCTTCATCCATGCATCTTCCCTCTTGTTTCCCTTCGGCTTTACGTTCTGAAATTTATGCTGTTTTATTAGGATTGACCGCCCTCTCCCGTGATTCTTCAATTTCTATCTATACTGATTGTAGTCAGTTAATTTCATTATGGACACGTTTTGTTGATGTTCCTTTCTCACCGAAGTTGCTTCGAGAACCTAATCATCTTCTTTGGTTTTCTATTCGACAACTTATTATGGATCGTAACCTCCATGTCGATTTGATTAAAGTCCCTGCTCATGGCGATGACATTTATAATGTACAAGCGGATTCTTTGGCAAAAGATGCTCATTCATCTATACAACCTTCTGTTTCGCCTTTGGCATTTTGTCATGCTCCATGCTTGTTAACTTTTAATTCTTTACCTGTTGACATGAATATTCGTCACTTTCTTCGCTCTATAGCAGACGCTCTTGCTCTTTTATCTTTTTGTTCATTGGCACGTTTTACTGCTCTTGGTTCTCCTTCACTTTTTGATTGGGCTGGTATATATTTTTGCCTTTCACAAATCAAAGGTTTTGCTTCACATAAGAA